CATTGTCACCTACCCCACCACACTTGCCACCGCCGTCATTCGTTACTAACGATCACACTGTTATTTAAAAGCATTCATCATTGCCCACCACCATCCATCATCTCCGCCCACCACCATTGTCGTTGTCCCATCACCACCACTGTCAATCACCATCACGATCGTCCACCACCACCCATACCCACCATCATCACCATCGTCAGTCACAGCTGTCACTACCATTATCATCACCCCAAAACCCACCACCACCATCACCGTTGCCACCCACGACTGTCATCAGTACAACGGTCGTCGCCACCCACCACAACTATCACCGTCTCTCACCACCACTACCATCGCTCACTCCCACTACAATCGGTGCTTAAATTTCTTGATCTCTCCTCTATGTTTGTGATTTAATATTAAGTGTAAGTACAAATATATTTATTGTTGACTATTTTTTTAATTATTTTGTGCCTTTAGACACGTAAAATAACTAGTTATCATATAAAAGAACAAATTAAAAGTATTAGGGTTTGCTCCTGATAAGGGTGAAATTTTGGGCATGGGTCGCCATAAGTCTGAGGCCCAAGACGCCATTGGGAACAGAAGTTAGAGCTCATTGGCCCCAAAAAGCATCTCTGATTAGTCCATGCCAAAGAGTTGAATAGGCAAGGCCCGATGAGCACTCGAGGGGCAGTGGCCCAGCCCTCGCCCAATTAAGTGCTAGCTAAAGAGGAATCGAATCCTTGCCTCGGAGTCATCCCACCGTGCCACGCATCCAAAGAACAAGAGGACCATCTCTGAAACCTGTGATAGCTACACCGCCCGCATGCAGAAGATGGTGGAGCATAACGTCTCAAAGATCGTGGGCATAGTAACACCGGTCGAAAAAGGCTTTTGCAGGGTAAGGACAGAAAATTCCCACAAGATCGATAAAAAGGTAGGAGAAACCGCCAGAAACCATGAGAGAGACGACTCATATATATAGAACAGTGTCATACAGAAAAAGGGAGGACCCGGAGAACATTTTTCATCTGTGTATACTTTATAAACAAAACACCAATCCCTGTAAGGGTCCAACACCTATACTCCGGCTGTATACATCAGAGTTTCAATATACAAAATTAAAAAATAAAAGACTCTATTACAATAGACATAACTTTAGTCTATTGATTAAGGCGAATCACTTATCTTCTATATTTTCTCTTTCGATAGATAACTCCATCTTTCAAATCAGCTCACATGCCAAATTCAATAACCTCTCATACCTTAGGCTTAGCCCGTAATTTCCGACACGCCATCAGCTCCTATAACAAATGTCCTTGTCAAGGGTAGGGACTTGACATCCTATTTTAAGTTGGTCAATACTGGACAGTGGACAGTGGACAGAATGTTGTGACCACTGAGAAGTAATGGTTGAACGGTTCGTATCATTGGATAGGATACCAACACCCCAACCCCCTTCAACAACACTATTCATCAATGCTCATCACTTCACCCACCAGAGATCACGGGAATGAAAAACTCTCTCTCTCTCTCTGAACTGAGAGAGAGAAAGAGAGTGAAATGATGAGACTAGTAGTACCCTCACATGCCTTTCAGAAACGCTCACAATTAATGTATCTGGAAAGTAGAGAAAACATATGATGTTAAGAATATTCTTCTTCTTAATTCTTTTGCTTTTAAATTAGGGATTAAAGATTAGGGATTAAGGATGAGTCCCGGCCTGTCTACCTTAAAAGATTTGACAATTGAGATCAATCTTTTCCCCCAAATTATCACTTCTTTAAAAATTAAATCGAAACAAAACTCCCATCACTTTGTTTTTTCTTTCGCTTGAATTTTCTTTCTTATCATTGATTGATTTCCATTCCACTTAAAAAAAAAAATTGAAAGAGAATTATTTTTGGAACAGGGGTAAACCGGGTCGAGCTATCTGACCCAAAAAAATATAACCCACGGCCTCGTCGTTGTGTCAACTCTAATGGGTCTTTAATAGGTACTCTATTCCTACTTAACTCTTTATTTGGGAGTGTTAATTATCAGACATTTGAGTTATCTAAAAAAATTTACTATTTATTTCAATTTTTTATCAAAGTTTTTTATTTAAAGAAAAATATTCTCTAGAATAAAGAGTGTTATTAAAGATGTTTTTTGCCTCATCGTTGTTCCAATAACTTTCAACGGGCCAATTCATTGGGCCTACCAGGCAAATGGGGCCCATTATTGTACCGATGGGGAAACGTTACGCCGGTAAGCCCGCGGCAAAAAGATCCCTCTAGCCATTGGTCCCTTGCATTACACATGATCTCTCTCTCTCTCTCTCTTAAATATTGGGTGTAACGGTTACACCATATCAGCTATGTTGATATAATGTAACTATCCAATTAAAAAATTATTAAATAAATAAAAAATGATTTAGTAGTTATATATTATATGATTGAGTGATTATTATTTTTTGTGTGGCTCATTTACTAATTTGTTTACTTATTATTTGATAATCACGTGATACTATTGACACGATGTATCAGTTATACCTAATATTTTTTTTCCCTCTCTAGAATCAAAACTTCCAACCATTTCTCGAGTACAGAGACTGGGACAAAGAAAAGTTGTAGATGCATATGAAAGAATGGTTTATCCATGTGGGTGGGCAGGGCAGGGCAGGGCAGGAGCAGAGCACATGATAATGAGAGCAGTCTATTACTCCAACCAACATGCTTATTTGCTCTAATAATATGGGGCCATCGCTTTCTGACCAAATAAAAGTTCTGCACCCTGAAACTTTTTCTTGTTATTTAATTTCCCTAATATCCAAACCTTCGTTATTATATACACCTTAAACTATGGATTTGCCTTTTAATAATGCATGGTCCCCCCCTCCCCCCCCCCCCCCCCCCCCCGGCGGAACCATCTTTCTTCTTACTGCTTCTTTCATTCCCTCTTTTCTGTGTCAGTTTGACTCACAGACCTGTCTCCATTTGCCAACAAGTGTGTCAAAAAATTGATAGTTATTTAGGCACATGGACTATACTAATTGATAGAACAAAAAATATTAGAGTGAACACACTTAAATATACTTCAAATTATTTAAAATATATAAAAGTAATATTTAAAAAAAAAATTGAGGGTGGTGGGCATGTGCCCCCTGGTCTTTAAGTAGCTCCGTCCGCCCTTGAGCCAAACCATATATTATTGGACTCGGCTCGAGTAAACGACTTTAGAACTTTGGCCAAACTCATTTCATTTTGCAAGTTGATCAAATTGAGTCCTATCTAAACTCGAGTTATTCAGGCTATTTAATTAGCCTCAAATTATCACCGACATCACTCTAAATGAAAAACTCTAATTGATTTTGTGGTCAGACATAAAAAATAGGACAAATCCACTAGTGAAAACCATATAAAATGTAACATTCCGAGATAGCTCAAGTGAATCTTGACAATTTCTTTGGATGAGGTTATGAGAACTTTATCTTTTGTGATTATTCTAGTTTCATGATTTATTTTTGACTAGATCGAAGAGAAAATTAATTGAGGTGCACGTAAGTTAACCTGAACATCTCTAAACCATTTAAAAAAAATTATATAAAGTGTAATAAAGAGGAGAGTAGAACCAATACGACTAAGTAGGAAAATAGTGGTGGAGCTTGATGGAATGTGTATGATAGATTTGGGAGGATGGGTTTCTCTTGGTACCATTACCATGTGAAAGAAAGAGTGTGCAGAGTCTGCACCAGAGCTACTTGACCTATCCAACTTCTCGATTCAAGAGCTTTAAAACAATAAGCATGGTCCCTTTTTTGACCTTTTGCGATGAACTCACTGAACTCAAGATTCAAGGATCAACCCCATGCCTGTGTTCAACTCCTTTATCCGACAAAGCACTTCCGATTATACCAGCGCAATGTTCGATCTGAAAACTCTCATGAGATATTCTCTGTAAACTTGTTCCGAAGAACTGGGATGCAGTTCTATGACCACCATGTAATGGAGTGTACGCTCCTTTTTTGAATGGTTAAAAACCAAATATTTATTAAAAACTTGGAAGAAACAGAGTCATGCCAACTAGTTTTCAGCTTAGTTGATGTTACAATATGAACAGAGTATGGTACAGAAGAAAAAAATTTGGCACTGTTTTAATGGGTGTTTTTACAATTTTTGTGAGTAAATTTACAATTAAAAAACTTGTCACTTTTTGTGAGAGTTTTTACTATTGTTGTAAGTGTTTATATAAACATTATGGTAATTATTTTGATTATTTTTTTTTTGTATCAAAAAAATTACTACTTTTATAAGTAATTTATCATATTTGTTGTGTATGTTTTTACCCACTATTGTGATAAATATTTTCAGGTATCACAATAGTGGTAAAAACAACCACTAATGTGATAAAAAAAAACACTCACAAATGTAATAAATGGAGTTATGATATTGAAAAGAAAAACAATTGGTACCTTAATGAGGTCTGTATGCACTTAATGGATCGGATTAGCTTACAGTTGAAAATAATTCTTCGGTATCAAACCGAAGTTAATTTTTGGATACCATAGCCAGCTACTGTTAATTACGAAAATATCAATTGTAAAAATGTCCACTTGTCTAAGGATTATTTATTTGTTACTTTTAAGTAATTTTTCTCTATAAGCCATTAATCACATGAAGCACAATGTTGTTTTACTCCATTCAGATGGGAAGTCCTGAAATTACATAGATAGCCATCTACGGAAACAAACAACTATTGATCTTGTGCTGCTGATTATTTTTTCAAACTCTGAATCAATTAATTCAATTACTTAGCTTCAAAAAGAAAATCACTAATTAAAGCCAAAGTGAAGTAGCACTGGGAGGTGGGTTTAATTATTGTAACCAAGCAGGACGTTACTCGTTACAGAGGCAGCTTTTGCTTTATAAATAGGAGAGACCTCTGTGTTGTCTCTGCAGCTTGCAGGTTAGTTGTTGGCTGGTTGGTTGGTTGGTTGGTTTTGGGTTTCTGTACATTTTTGGGCAGACCCAACCCAAATGGCTCCCTCTGTTTTCCCTTCCTCTGTTTTCCTTTCTTCTTTGCTTATCCTTGTTCTCTTTTCCTTCACTATCTCTCTCCATTGCAATGCCTACCCTTCTCATCACAACCCTCTTCGTCCCCACCGCCATCATCCTCGCTTTGCGTCTCACAACTACAGAGATGCTCTCGCAAAATCTATTCTCTTCTTTGAAGGTCAGAGGTCTGGGAAGCTCCCTCCTAACCAGAGGATGACTTGGAGGAGAGACTCTGGTCTCTCAGATGGCTCTGCCATGAAAGTATGTGTAAATCATCAGAAATCTATCATTAATAATGCTCTAGTTGTTCAATTTTTGGTGTTTTTCTTGGAAGATTTCAACTGGGTTTTGTTTATTTGATGTTAAAATGACAATGTAGGTTGATTTGGTTGGAGGTTACTATGATGCTGGGGACAATGTGAAGTTTGGGTTTCCCATGGCATTCACAACCACCATGCTCTCATGGAGTGTGATTGAGTTTGGTGGGTTGATGAGAGGTGAGTTGCAGAATGCCAAACAAGCTATTCGTTGGGGTACGGATTATCTTCTCAAAGCCACTGCCCAACCAGACACCATCTATGTCCAGGTTTGTGCATTCTGTCTTACAGAATGTCTACCACATTTTTCTGATCTAGCATTTAGCCCCATTTTTTAAGGACACAAACAGAGGAGCTAATGTTGCAAAATGCTCTCTCTCTCTCTCTCTCTCTCTCTGTGTGTGTGTGTGTGTGAAGGTGGGTGATGCAAACAGGGACCATGCTTGTTGGGAGAGACCTGAAGACATGGACACCCCAAGAAGTGTGTTCAAAATAGACAGAAACACCCCAGGTTCTGAAGTTGCAGCTGAAACTGCTGCTGCTCTAGCAGCAGCTTCTTTAGTCTTCAGGAGGTGTGACCCCACTTACTCCAAGCTCTTAGTCATCAGAGCTATCAGGGTATATAACTTCACACATAATATCAACAAATAAATGCAGTATATTGGGATAAAACAAGGAAAATCCTGATTATTTTGAATTTTCCATCCGTAGGTGTTTGAGTTTGCTGATAAGTACAGAGGTTCTTACAGCAACGGGTTGAAGAAATTTGTTTGCCCCTTTTATTGTTCTTATTCTGGGTACCAGGTAAAATATTTTGTTCTTTTTACTTCCACATTTTTTGGTTTATTTTTCTAAATCAAACCAAACCAAGTCATTTGTCTCAAACATTTGGGGTCGGTTATTATTTGAACTCATCATATTGGATCCGACAAAGTTTTATGACTATCGGCTACGTAATGTAACCCCTCCTCCTCCTCCTTTATCTTGGCTTGGGACAGGCAGTGTTGAATACAACACTCAGAGTTTGTTTTTTTTTTTTTCTTTCTTTGGAGTTAAATCTTGATTTGTTGTTCTTGATAATGGAAGGATGAGCTGTTGTGGGGTGCTGCTTGGTTGCACAAAGCTACCAGGAATCCTACTTATCTAAACTACATTCAAGTGAACGGGCAAACCCTTGGGGCTGATGAGTCTGACAATACATTTGGGTGGGACAACAAGCATGTTGGGGCTAGGATTATTCTCTCCAAGGTCACATTTTCATTACTGTTTTATCAATCATTTCTTGCTCTAGAATCTAGATTATTTGTTGATACAAGTAGATTTGTGCACTTGAATGTATTTCAGTATAATGTGTGACACATTGCCTTGGATTTTCAGGCATTTCTGGTACAAAAGGTCCAGTCCCTCCATAGTTACAAAGGTCATGCAGATAACTACATCTGTTCTCTCATACCTGGGAACCCCTTCTCCCAAGCCCAGTACACCCCAGGTCCTCTCTCCCTCAATTCTCCCTCTCTGCAAATATACTCTGCTAATATATGCTACATATTAAGTTTAGAACAAGTCTATGGTACATCACAAAGTTACTATCAAATAAAAGTGAAGTTTTGTCAGCACATTTTAGGATTAATTCTAACTTATCTAGGTCTAATTTGACTCTGTTGAGTCATAATTAATATTTTTACTATGGTTAATTAACCTTAAATCAATTATATTTAACTTTTATTTACTTGCAAATTTTGATACGATTTCGAACTGGGTGGGTAGCTTAACTTTACCCTGTTTTACATGGATCAAGTTATGGTACCAAAACTTAATACTCATTATAATACCGTAAAATGATTATAAGTGGTAGATTTTTGTACTAAAACTTTTTGTGTGTTCCATTGTAACAAAAAAGGAGATATGGTCCAACAATTTTTTTTTTGGTACCATAGTCTAACCATATTACTCTATGGTTAGGGCTATTGTATGGGAAAAAAAATGGCAATATTTCAAAATATAATAAAATAAATTTATATGTGTCACATTTTATTGGTTGAAAAAAAAAAGTATGGTACCGAAAAATAATTTTTTGATACTATATAATGAATTTAGGACTAGACTATAGTATCAAAAAGTTATTTTTCGGTATCATATTTTTTTTTTTGTCTAATAATAATTTGACACTTAAAAACATTTATAAATTTAATGAAGATAAATTTATGGTACCAAAAAACATTATAATATAATGTATTGCAAAAATATTGACTCTAAAAATAAGTTGAAAACTATTGAGGGTCAAATTATAATATTTTTAGGGTATGTGTGATTCTAAATCGTTATAACTTCGCGTAAAAACAATATAATTTAACTCCAAAAATTATAATTTTTAAGGTCAATGTCAATTAGTATATAATAATTTGAAAGAAAAAAATTATAATTTGGAAGAAGAGTGATAAACATAATTCCAAAGTAGTTCAAGTGTTAACAAGGGCAACTTGTAATCTTAAATGTCTCGAATTTGAATCTTGACAATTTTTTAGGGTTTGACTATGAGATTTTATGTCTTATGAATACGCTAATCTCAACGTAAATGATCTGTTTTTGATCAGATCAAAAAAGAATTAGTCATTTTGAATCTTGACAATTTTTTAGGGTTTGACTATGAGATTTTATGTCTGATGAATACGCTAATCTCAACGTAAATGATCTGTTTTTGATCAGATTAAAAAAAAAATTAGTCAAAATATGTGTAAATTAGTTCAAACACACTATAGTCTCGAAAAAAAAGAAAAACATAATTGACAAACCTTAGTAGTAAAGAAGGTCAATCCCTTAAGTTTATAGCAATGTGGTTTGATTGATTACTTCTGACAGGAGGGCTTCTGTTCAAGATGGATGACAGTAACATGCAGTATGTGACTTCCACTGCCTTCCTGCTTGTAACCTATGCCAAGTACTTAACCTCCGCTCATATGATTGTTAATTGCGGTGGAACCATTGTTACCCCCAAGAGGCTCCGAACCATTGCCAAAAAACAGGTAAACTTAAGGATAGGGGTAGCACACCACAACCATAACCTTCGCTGTTGTGTCATCATTATAATAATCTTTCTTTACATTATGATTATGTAGGTGGACTACCTGCTAGGAGATAATCCCCTGAAGATGTCCTACATGGTTGGCTATGGTGCAAGGTACCCACAGAGGATCCACCATAGGGGATCATCCCTGCCGTCCATTACTGCACACCCAGCTAAGATCCAATGCTCTTCTGGGTTTAATATCATGAATTCGCAATCTCCCAACCCCAACATTCTGGTGGGGGCCATTGTTGGTGGGCCTGACCAACACGATCAATTTCCAGATAAACGGTCAGACTACGAGCAATCAGAACCGGCAACGTACATCAACGCACCCCTTGTTGGAGCACTATCTTATCTTGCACACTCGTTTGGCCAACTCTAAAACCTTAGTACTCGTAGTACTCTATATAACCAACCAAGGGTCCCAAGTATTTTTAGGTGTTATCTACATTTGTTTTTCAGTTATTATAGTTCTGAAATTTCTAGGGGATGGTGTATGGGCCGAGACCTAAGAAGGCTCGAGCCCCGAACCTTGTGCACTGTTATTAAGGTTTTCTTTATACATAGCCTTTCCTTGTTCGTTGTGATTCTCCGTGGACAACCTTTGGAATTAGTTTTTTTTTTTAACCGTTGGTAAGGATGGCCCAGTATTTGACCGTTGAAAATATGTGGCGGAAAAAGCGATGATACGCGGGAAGTCGTATGTCACGTGGTCAAAAGCTGCACATTGCACTTTGTCAGGTGCAGCAGAGCACCCTAATAATAGAGATTGCAACGCCTGTCCGCGTAGTCCCAGATTTTTTTGGCAGAGATAAATATACTTTCGGTGTGAATATTTATTTTTTATTCAATCGGTGAAAAAATTCATTAAAATATGTATATATTGATATGGACAGTTTTAACTGTTGAATTAAAAAAAAAAAAAGAACTACAGTAGTGGTGAAAAACGTTGGAAAAGGAGGGTTTAACCATAGATATTAAAATAAGTTAGTGGGGGGTGTGATGGCCACCATTTCACTGTTGATTTTAAAATCACATGTAAAATTTTATATTTTTATTATTTTTACCATTGCCGGATAGGAAGACAACGAACCTGCCGAAGACATTTGAACTCAGCGAATGTAACCACATCCGGGTTAAGTTTCATATTCTCAATCTACACGCCAAACCATATTCCCACAACCACAATTACTCGTACTAACGCACAAGGAATGGTGAAAATTTTGTTATTTAATTTGAATGTGCTAAATTCTTTTCAATTATAAAATTTTATTTTAGTTTTCAGCTTCAGAAATTATTTTATTTTTATTTTTAGTTTAATTAGATTTTTATTTTTTATTTTTTATTTCCTAATTTATTTAGTATTCTAGTTTCTTAGTTAGTTTAATGTTTCTAATATTATATAAAGTCTTGTAAGCCTTGTAGCAAAACAATTTTGCATTATTGAATATAATTAAGAGAATTTTTTCTTTTCTTTTTAATTATTCTCTCTTGCGTCATTCGGACCAAGCTAATATCGGGCCAAACCCGCATCATTAAGGGACAAGACTAGATATTGGGCAACGGATCCCTCACCACAGCCCAGCCTGTGATCCAAAACCTGTTGTTTTACGTAAGGTTACTGAGCAGGCCTACCTCCAAGTTGTATTTCAAGGACAAAAATAACAAAATTATACCTTCAGAAGTTGCAATTTTCAACTTCAAAGCTTACCACTTGCACCTTTCCAAAATATTACGTGCACCAAATGATTGTAGAGCATTAAATTAATGGAGCCCATTATCGCCCTACAGTCATCCAACTGACAATCATATGTGCACAAATTGGCGCACATGGCATTACTATTATAACCTACTTCTATAATTTGTGAATGATAGGCTGATAGTAGTATCTCGAAGAAGATGAGTTCAAGGGGATGAAGCACCCAAAGTCATCAAACCTGTGCCGGCACCTAACTGACTGCCTGAATTCTCCGGATGGCATTTCTCAAGTACTCGCACCATTTCATATAATTAACAGAAATCATCGTAATGCAGTCGATGGATTCTAACGAAATCTTCGAGAGGAGGATCAGCCACACTAGAATGGGAGGCAGCAGTGGAGAATTTTCCACAATAGGTGAAAGCCTAACGGAGAAGAAACAATGACAGTATTTGGGAAATAAACACATGCTAACTCTACCTACTTTATTTTTCCTTCTTTTTTTGTTGGGGGTTTTGAACAGAATACGAATACGTTTCAACTGCTCTCTATTACGAGGTAATACATTCACGATATCTAAAAACCTTCAAACATACATAGGCGGTGCAAGATTAACACTCCAAAACTAAGTGCCTGATTAATTAGTACAGCATCTGTGACATTTTGCATCCATGCGTACACAAACTGAACTTTATTTAAATTTGATCAAATATCGTGGATAGAGTGACACGCTTACTGACTACTTCCTTGAGCTCCTTTATCCACTGGTTGGGCATCTATTGCCAGAGGAACGGATTTAACCTGAAACAGCACAAGCATAATGAAATTTCCGAAAGGCCTTATGTGTGAAAGCACAAGAAAAAAATTAACAAAATTGTTAGGTGTTGGCAAATATCTCTGATTAGACTTGATCTATCCGAAGTTGAAAGCATGGGTTTTTCATGCCTTCTTGACTTCAATATTCTTATGTGTGGCAGAGAAGAGGAGGATCAAAGAGCGCACCAGATCACGGAACTTGAGAATGTAGAACATCTCAAGATATCTTCGAGTTTCACGCCTCTCAAGTTTCGAAACATACTTCCAGAAACCATAAACTCCAGCTAATGTCATCAGCCTCTCAGAATATATTTGCCATGTATACCTACAATGTTACAACTTACAAGGATCAAACATAAGCCTCACTAAATTAATGAATTGCTGTTTCCATCAAGACAACTAACCTTTCCTGGATCCTTTGAAGCCCTGCTTGGGAGATTTTCTCCCAGTAGCTGGGATCCTCCTGGCACCGCTGGAAAAAATCAGCCATAAGTTCAGCAGCCTTATCAGGGTGATACGGATCAATATGGAATCCTGATACACCATCTTCAATAATCTCCATAGGACCACCATGACAAGTAGCAATTGTTGGAAGACCACAAGTCATGGCCTCCACCACTGTTAGTCCAAAAGCTTCATAAAATGCAGGCTGAAATTTAAACCCCACCACCAAGAGAAGGGAAAAAAAAGATAAAAAGGGAAAGTCTTAGGATGATTAATTGAATCAGACATTTAATAAATAAGTCAAAGCAAACTGCATACCTGCACAAACGCGCCTCTCTTGTCAGCCATATAGCGGTAAAGCTCACCATTACGCACTCGATTTGTTTGGGCTGCTATCCATCGAAATTGGCCAAGCAGGTTGTATTTCATAATGAGATCATGCATCTTCTCTATTTCTTGGATTTCTTCTCTGTCATTGGACTTCTTGACATCATTGTAACCTGCCACAATGACAAGGTTTGCCAGTTCCCTTAGCTTGCTATTTTTAGCATAGCATTCTACTAGCCCAGTGATGTTTTTCACCCGATCAAGTCTCGCCATGGAAAAAATTATGGGCTTCGATTGATCACTCAATGTACCACTGCATGAGGTCAAATATATGATTTGTTTTAGAAATCAACAATTATCTGCCATTACTAATATCATCAGACATCCTACTTCATCTTGGATTCTCAACAGAACCACATTTAGAACCGGTTTAGCTTCAAATTTTAGGTACTAGGCAGACATACTAAAGGGAGCGCAGAGCTAACTGCTGAAAACAAAAATAAAGATCCATAGAAAACAGAGATGAATCCCTAGCTAATAGTAATATGGGACAAATAACAGAATACGGGACAATAAAGTACAAATAATCTTTAACAACGCCGTAAGACTTGAGGCATGCTGGAATTATATGGCAGACTTTTGGTGACAATGATGGTCTAAAAATTATTGCTGCGGCGTAAGCAAATATAAAAACTTAGGGCAGACTTCCACATTACTATTCAACTTGAAGAAAACATAGAATCAAGGAAACACTCACATATGTACATCATTCTGCTCAGGATCATACAATAACTCTTCAATTGAACCATGCAGCGCAGTAAGTCTTTTATCCTTGTCAGAATATGGGAAGTAAATGTCCATATCCGCCCCAGGAGAGACAATATTGAACTTGGTATCAAAAACATCAATGCCATGAACAACTCGGTAGAGGCCAGGCAAAGTGAAAGCTGTATGGCTTTCATACTGACCAACAGTATTCTTCCTGAAAAATAAATCAAGATAAGTCCAGTAAACTGTTGAACTTCTACTTTAGTAAAACTGCAAATCCAGATTGATCAGCACAAGTATCTAAGTGATGTTTAAATAGCAATGCGCTTAACCATGGTGACATCGTGGCTTGCCTGGATCAAGTGCAAGACATGCTCATTTTTAATAAGATAGTTTTTAGACTTTTCTAAAAGTATTTAAACCAATAAAATTAGCCTTGTTCTTTTAGATGTGGAGAAGAGAGAGTGGGAGAGAGATAACTCATTAAGATGAGTTGTCAAATATGTATGTGAGTGAGAAAGAGACTGGAAAATGGGAAATGAGAAGTCTATCAGGGAGGACTCAAAAGTGAGAAGCTACATATGGCATAACAAATGTCGAAAGACTATTTTAGCAACATAAAGAAGGCAAGCTGAAACATAGACTCGGTCAATATTAATAAGAACTATGTTGTGGAAAATAATTCATGAGCTTTATAACAATTACCTAAAATTTCCAATACAGGTTAAATGCATAGGTGGCTGCAATCTTCATCCTAAAAAAGGAGGTCTTATTGAGTCGTAAAATCCTTGTATTATCTTTCATCTTTTACTCTCAAATAGATCTTACATAGCTTGTTGTGCACTGTAAAGTTGTCAATATGGGCACTAACTTCATCGAGTAAGACTCTCAATTAGATTAATTTTACCACACTCATGTTCCTTATGATGGCAATTTATAAAATGTAAATACTTTGAATAACACTGTGCTAGAACCATGGTGCACATAGTCAACAAAGCCCCAAACATAACTCCTACGGTTCAGTAGCATGCATGAATTCCCTTCTCGAAGTTAATAACACTGATTAATAAAATCCTGAAGGTATTAAAACCCATTTCTGTTTTGCTGGGCGAGGCAAGGACTTCAATCACATTATGCGAGGATCAAACCTGCATCCTCATAAACAGTAGAGTAGAGAGAGGGACCCAGTTGCTATTGGGCCATCCTGTGTCCTCCGTTTTCGTATACACTAACATAAAATAATGGTCCTACATCTCTATTACCCATCGGAAAGAAAAAATAACAGTTTCACATTGCACATATTGCATTGGCAAGAAATATCAATATGGCTGAAGGAACACTTACGTCCCTGCTATCTCTTGGTATGTACTGGTGATGATAAAGTCTGAATGATTCATGGCTAGTAGGTCAGCAGTAAATTGACATGAGAAGTGATATTTGTCCTCAAATTTTTCCCAGTATATGTCAGAATCTGGATATTTCGTTTTTTCCAGTGCATGTGCGATGGTGCACTGCAAAACCGGAATATTCAAGGGTCGAACACCATTAGTGGAAATATAATTTAAAAAGTCTGACAAGATGAGCAAATCATATCACTCCTAACCTGTGTGACCCCCATCTTATATGCTAATAATGATGCGACAAGATTCCCATCACTGTAGTTTCCTATAATTAGATCCGGTACACCTTGTAACTCGGCGGCAATTTCACCGGCTGCATCCTGATAACAAAACACTAAAATAGGGAATACTACGCAACAAAACAAAAGCGTCATGCAAGCATAAAATCTTATACAAAAACATAGATTATTACTAATTTGAGTTTTAACATGGTGTGTGCCTGTTGATCATTTTGATTCTTCATATAAGAAAGAAATTATTTTGGCACCTTCTGAACAATATGTTGTGCTAGCATAATTTTGGCGGATCTGTGAGAAATGGTAGATAGCACGCTACAACAAGCTATATATTGAATGACTACTAAGGTGTTCCATCATTTGGTGCCACAAGCCAATAGGGAAGGCCAAGATTACTGTTGCAGAATGTTGAGCTGTTAACAAATTAATTTCTACAAGCATGGGACACCAGGAATCAGGGGGGTCAAAATTGAGGGTTACTCCAAAGTGGTCAGTAGTAGACAGTAGAATGGCGTTGTTCCTTGGAGAATTTGGAGGGTGATAGAGGATGTCAGGAAGGCTCTTTCCAGATTTGATGAGGTCAAAATTAGCCATGTTTACTTCCAAAGTAATAGACTAGTGGATGCCATAGCCAATGTTTGATATAGCCTTGATTTGTATAAATTGCAGGGAAAATAAGTTTCCCAGTTATGGAGGTATAATCATTGCATATGAATGGAGGCGAGTAGATGTCATGATGCATTAGTGCTTTTTGTTAATGCTATTTTTTCTACAAAAAAGGCCTGCTCCCAATATTTGACGAAAGTGAACTATTAGTTTCAGAATCAAAGATGCAATGCAGTTTAAATTAACATTGTACCAATGCTGCAGTGAAAACTCTGGCGTTGAGAAACATTATCGACCTTGCTGACCTAGAAAATAACTTTCGGATGATGATTGAACTCCCTTGTTTCCAGATGTAATCAGCATTTCTAACTGAAGATATTGTGCAAGGCAATGACACTGGTAGTGATGACACACGTGCGCAGGTGCACACAAAGGAAGAGAAAGCAGAAATGCATGCACGAAGGATCATATAACACGTATTAGTGGTTAAAACATTATCAGTTGGTTATATTATTTAACAATTACCCTTTTCTGTGACAATAAAATGCTACCTCAACTCCGGGATTTGTATCATGGATAAATTATTGTTAAAGCAACACATAGACACAGAATGAAAATAGAAATCCATTAACAAAACTAACATAAAACCACCACCCAATTCGTGAAAAGTTTTTCCCCTATAGGACCTAAAAATTGGTGATGCAACCCAATTTTCAGGATGCATCACAGCATATAACATAACTTTCCAGAAGATTATGCTTCTTAACAACTTGATTTGTAAGTGCCATTACAGACAGACTTGGCTAATAAAAACCTCTATTCCTATCCAAAAGGATAAAGAATAATCAAAACTTCAACTGCCAAACTGATCTCACCTCTGCAAACGTCTCCATATAGGGCCATATGTCAAACCTAGAGATCCATTTACGAAGAATCCCTTTCTCAGTTCGAAAAGGAACTCGCAAAATATGAGCGTATTCAGTTCCACTGATTCTTTCCAGCCGCTGGTTGCATGTGGTACCTTTTGCATCAGGTATTAACCGAGTAACCTTACACAACCAAAGAAAGTTGAAATATATTGTACATGTGCGCACTATATTAAACAACTGAGTTAACAGGAGTACACATATAGTATATATCACATATACACTTACAATGAGAATTCTAGGAGTGACATTCAATCCTTGCCGCTTTTTCCTTAAAAGCATCTCATTTTCCAGGGCACGCACTTGATCCAGTATATATACAATCTGTGTATCACAAATAAACAAATTTCTTGCAATATTTCCATTAGCAGCATTCATAATCACAAGCATCACTTTAATAAGTGAAACTTATTGCCACTTATATAACACAAACCAGAAAAGAGGCAGAAAGGAGCAGCTAGAGGATGACTAAAAGTTTAAATATGAACATAAAGTCCCATTCTCACTTTTGTATAATTTGGTATAGAAGATTAAACAATTGGTACCTGGCCACCAGTGTCAGGTAAGCCCAAAACATTTGCTTGGCCAAAGTATCCATGTACAGACAAAATGACCACATTAAATACCATGGGTATTCGACCAAGAAACATCTCTAAGGTAGATGGATCAGGAGCCTGAAGAATGTCTGAGAGGAGATGCATCATCTCCTCCACCCTTTGTGCAGTATCGCCCCAGCCTCTCTCAAATCCCATTTCTTGCAATCTGCATGTCAGTAATAATTCATAAAAAATGTCAACTTCTTAAATAGTCACCATCGAAATTAAGATCAGAACAGATTAGCTAGTATATAAAAGCTTACACATATTCAAAATAAGAGTAGGGTGAGCTTACGCATATTCAAATTCAGTGTAGGGTGTATCTGGTGATAGCTTAGAAAGATACTCCTCTGCCTTAGCCAAGGCAGACTCAAGTCTGGATATCCTCTGTATCCTATCGTTTAACATCATCACCTAAAAGTAATACATAGTTAGATTATATCAATCAGCCCTATGGTATTATCTCACACAAAAGACAGTTAATATCCAATTTTTTACACACAGTAGTTCTCAAGTGGATATCAAACAGATAATACACAAACCAAGGAGTACTGCTATACTTTTATAAAAAAAAAAAGTTGTACAACACAAGGACTTCCCAAGGGTCACCAATCCTAGTACTACTCTTGCCCAAGCACGCTTAACGGAGTTCTGGTATAATCGCAACCAATACTGCTATACACACTTATCAAAAAAGGGAGAAATACATTTCTAAAATGAAGATTTGGGAGATTATTAAAGACAACCAAATTTAGGGATAGAAAACGAAAGAGCACATACATTGTAGTTTCACACATTATCAACCTTATAACCTGAGGAAGTATGCAACTGCAAGCAGTGCTTTCTAAGTGAACTTACTTGCC